AAAAACATGGGGTGTCATACTGGATGGATGCCTTGCGAATCAGTCATACCTATTTGAAACTTTCCTTACATGGCAATTCAAAGAATTGCTGGAGAGACTAAGTAGATAGACCACTTAAGCAGAAGGAAAGGATGGAATATAAATAGAAAAATAAACAATATCCAGATTTGAGACAACCATCAGACAGAAGAAAAATCAGGGCTTGGGCAAAACAAAGTAGAATGTAAGAGCTTTGAATACTTGGAAACAAGTTTTTACTTTTGGATACACAAATTTTGTAGCATGGTATATGAAAATGGCCTGTACAAAAATACTGTCAAGAGAAGATAAACCACTGGTTGGGGAAATTATTTGCAAAAGACACCTCTGATAAAAGATAGATTTTTAATATGCCAACCCTGTTTATAATATCAAACAACCACAAGGACAATGAAGGTAATTATGGGAGATGGGGGAGGGAAAGAAAATGCAACAATAAGAAATGGTAAAGCCCTTTACATGAAAGGGCTTAAGGGCCAGAGAGATACTATAGAAGATAAGGTACTTGCCTTGCACGCAGCTTATACAGTTTAGATCCACAGCCCCACATAGGGTCCCCCAGCACCACCAGGGGTCACTCTTAAACAGAACCAGAAACAGTCCTTGAGCAGGGCCAGGTGCAGCCCCAAAATCCCATAAATTAAAAAACATAAATTATAAAATAGGGCTTAAAGCCTTAACGGATATTTCAACAAAGGTTATACAGATGGAAAAATGGGCATAAAAGAGATGCTCCCAACCCATGTTATCAGGCAAAGGAAAATTTAAACAAAAAACCACTATAAAATCTAGAGATACCACTAGTCATTGCTAATGGGCAAAAAGGTAGTCAAGTTAGGAGGTAGTTTGGTCACAAAACTAAACATACTTAATCGAAAAAACTGAAAATATACACGCACAAAAACTTACACATTTACCACAAAACTATTTATAATTTCCTCAAAGTGAGTGCAGCCAAGCTATCCTTTAAAAGGAGAAAAAATGAACTTGTAAACTCAGACAACAGATTAACTAAGCTCAAGTCTGAGAGACCACTCAGTGGACTGAGTGCATCCTTTACAAGTAATCCAGGGCACTGCTTAGTTTCCCTGATTATCCCCAGGTGGAACCTGCAACACTAAACTGGGAGTACACAATAGGCAACATCTGGTGTGGCCAAACACCGCCCCCTCACCCCCCAAAAAAACACTGCTTGCTATCAAGTTATGAAGATTCCTAGAGAAATCTAAATGCATATAATTAGGTCAAAGAAGATAAGAAAATAATCACTTTTTAATTAAATATTTTTAAAGGATTTTTTAAAAAGGCAAAACCCTAACAGAAAAAGATCGGTTGTGTGGAGATGATTACAAGAACTGATAAGCATGCTCGGCATGTGGGAGTCCCAGGTTCAATATCCAGCAACACAGGGTCGTTCTGTCCCAGTTCCATCCATCCATCCCTCCCCCTCACCACCACCACCACAAAGGGACCTACAAGCACCAAGTGTGGGCTGGGAGTAGCCCCAGAGCAGCAGCAAGGTGTAACCTTACAAAGAAACAGAAAGGAGCATTGTTTGCCAAAACATTGGACAATTGAAATATTCTGTATACTACTACAATTATACATTTATCAACACCAAAAGTTACTTATAAAACAAACGGGTAGTAATAATGTGCACGTCCACTGAAACAGATGCATTACCATGGAGAAGGATGCTGATAAAGGGGAGACGAACTCATAAGTGGGGGTCAGGGAGCAGATGAAAAAATTTTACTTTCTATGTTGTGAACCTAAAATTGCTAAAAGAAATCAGTAGTAGAGTGCATATTTATGCAAAAGGCCCTGTGACTCAATTTTCAACTCTTCTCACACACACACACACACAAAGTCCCAGGCCCCTTTTCCCAAACTGCCTGTCCTTCTGCAAATTAAGTTTTACTAACTTATAGCTTTGAAAAACCAAGTAAATCAAAGTGCCTTAAGGGACTCGAGAGATAGTAACACAAGTAAGGCTCTCACCTTGCACACAGACGACCGGGATTTGATCCCCAGCATCCCATATAATCTCCGGAGTACCACCAGGACCAATTTCTGAGTACAGAACCAGAAGTAAGCCCCGAGCTTCAATGGGTGTGGCCGAAAAACAAAATGAAAACAAAAAAAGAGTGTCTTAAAAAAAATCTTTTTTTTAAAGCTTTAAGTTAAAAAAAAAAACTACCATTAGGTGGGGTGAAAGGGATTCCCACATATAGATTTTGAGTTAAGGTTTAAACGAAAATATCCAAAATATAAGAATATTTTATAAGGCATGTGCATAAATTCCATAATATCAGGTCTGTGACAGAGCTCAAGCATAGAACAGCTTATCTTTAGAAATTGTCGATGTAAATTCGATTTGAGGGGAGGGAGGAAGAGAGGGAAAGCTCAACAGGCAGAGCAGGAGCGTCTTAAGCAGAGGATGACTTTTGATTCCAAAGGACACAAGCTTTCCGGAGAACAACAGAGCCAGGTGTGGCCCAAATACTTCCCCCACAAAAAAGTACAATTGGTCAACTAAAACCAGTTCTCAAAACACCACTGAAAGATACAAGTTTTCATGCTATTGTCACTGTCTGACACTAAATATATTTCTGTAAATTCAATTAATTTTAGCCTGATTATACTATTTTACATCACAACTATTAAATACTATTGATCCACAGCAGTTTTGATAGAATTTCTCAAAGCTAAATAAATGTTTCTTCATTAGTTTATGGAAATTACAAAAGTGCACTTTTCTATAAATTATGCTGTACTTCACATTAAAACGGTTTTACTAAATTATGCCAGAAAGTGCTGAGAAAGATTACTTGATTTATAACTTTTGGGGGGAGGGGCCACACTCCGTGGTGCCTGGGGGGCTCTTGTGCTCAGGGTTCACTCCTTGGAGATGCTCCGGGCACTATATGGGATGCCAAGGATGGAACACGGGTCAAAAGCAAGAGCCCTACCCGCTGTACTATGAGACCCAAAGTAACTTTTAAGAGTCAATGGAACTCACTGTTCTATTTCCAAGTTACAAGTGTCCGAAAGTGGACAGATCTAGAATGTGAAAGTGACAAAAGAAAGCCTTAATCTATTAAACCTTGTTAAATCCCAATCCACACAAGATCCATTCCGATCTTACCCTATAAACATCCAAATGCCGTCCTTTCAGCATGCCTGTCAATGTATCATCTTTAGTCCTCTTATTTTAATATTCAACAACAAAATGACTCAAGAGAAAAACCCATGCGCTAACCGTCTATAATGTGTTTTCACAAATTCTGGGCTAGGCACTTCCAACGAATCCACCATGCCACAATAATCCGTTTAAGTTGTAGTCATTAAGCAACAACAACCTTCGCAGCAATTTTATTGAGGACTTGGCATGGGGTCAGTCGCCCATTATCATTTCACCAATTCTCCCAACAATCCCTATGAAGCAGGTGGTCATTACACCCAATTTGCAGATAAGGAAAGGAGCAGCCCAGAAGTTAAGTATCTCGTCCAAGGTCACAAACCGGTGGGGCAGGGTTTGGAACCTGAGCAGGCAGTCGGACTTCAGAGCCCGCGCTCCCGAGCATCCAACTGCTTACAAAAATTCGTTGAATCCCTGGCAGTCGTCTATTAAATTATTAAAATTTAAAAAAAAAAAAAAAGGTCATGTTCAACAGCTAGGAACCGGTGGCGGGGGATTCACAGCTCTGAACCCATTAGGCGCAGCGCTTTTTGTGACTTTTTACTCATCAGCTACACAACAGGCATCTCCCAGGCACACGAACTAATAATAATAAGCCTTTCTCTGGACGTCGTCAGTCGGGGCAAAACAAACGCGGAATCTTTCCAGGAAAACGCGAGAAAGGGGAAGAAAAATTTGGGGGGGAAAAAAAACCTAAATAAATAGATAAATAAAAACAAACCCCGACGCAACGGGGGGTGGCCCAGGTGACGCCAAATCCCCAAGTCATAAATCAGGGAGTCGCGAAAGGGCCCCCCAAAGTACCCCAACAAACCAAGCCTCCTCGGGCGGCGCGGGGGTGGGAGGAGGAGAGGGGGCGGGGGCGGAGGAGACGGAGACGGAGGAGGAGGAGGAGGACGAGGACGGAGAGGAGGGGGGGAGGTGTGTGGTGGTGGGTGGGGGGTCTGCTTGAACCACACGGCTGACGAGACAAAAGCCGGGGCCTCCCCGGCCAGTCCTGCGAGCGGCTCCCCTCTCCCCTACGACACAAACAAGGGAGGCGGCCGCCTCGGGGCCGGCGCACAATGACGACTCGGGGGCCGGCGCCCGGACCGGGGGAGGGGAGGGAGGGGAGTGGGGAGGGGGGGGACGCGGCCCCATCGCCACGGGCGGCGCGCGGGCGCCCAAGGACGGCCGAGTCGTCCCGGCCGGCCCTCGGGGAGGGGCCGGCGGGCAGCGCTGGCCACGGCTCGCACTCAGCTGACCTCCGCCATGTTGGCCGCACAGCCCGGGACCCCTCACAACAAAAGGCCGGGCCCCCCCCCACCCGGGCGCGCGGGGCACCGGGAGCCTCCCCCGGGGCCGGACCCGCCTCTCGGGCGCACGGGGTGCGGGGCGCGGGGCGCGCGGTGGGGGGAGCCGGGCCGGCGGCGCGGCACGAGGCCGACCCTAGCGCTGTGGCCGGCCCGGGCGCCGGGGGCGGGGGCGAGCCGGCTCGCGGCGGCGGCAGCGGCGGGCAGGGCAGGGCAGGGCCGCGCCGGGGAGGGCAGGGGAGGGGCGGGGGGCGGCGCTCGGCCCGCGGGCGGCCCGGCTCGGGCCCAGACAAAGGCGGCCGGTGCCGGGGGCTGCCCTCGCCCCCCGCCCGAGCAGCGCGACCCGGCGCGGCCGGCCGGCCGGCCCGCCGCCATTACCGGGCCTGGGAGTCCTCCTCCTCCTCCTCCTCCTCCCGAAGAATCCCTCAGCGGGGCCGGCTCCTCCCTCCAGGCCGAGCGCCTCTTACCTGTGGGCGGAGAGCGCGCCTCGGACCCCGGTCCTGGCTCAAACGCGCCCCGTCGCCGCCGCCGTCGCCACCGCCGCCGCCACTGCCGCCCGCCACCGTGGGCTGCGCCACCGCCTCTTCCCAGCGCCGAGTCGGACGGGACGCCCTGGGCCGCCGCCGCCGCCGCCGCTCGAGAGCGCGCCCCGCAACGGCCGCCGCGGCTCCCCCCTGGCTGCCGCCGCCACTGCCGCCGTTTCGCGCGTTCTCGAGCCCGCGGCGCGCTCCCGCTAAATACCACACACTGCGGCGGCTGCCATGAGGAGGCGCGGCCCCGCGAGCCCGGCGCCCCGAGGGGGCGGGGCTTCCCGCCGGCGCGCAGGCGCACGGGCGCTCGCGCGGCCGGCCGGCCGGGACCCGCGCAGGCTGTCGCGCGGCGTGGAGCTCCCGCGATTGGCAGTTGGCGCTCGGGCTCTCGGGTGACGGCGGCCGCTCCCGCCGCCGCCGCCGCCGCCGCCGCCGCCGCCGCTGGGCCCCGCGCGCCCGGCAGACGTCGGCCCCCCTCGCGCTCGTCGGCGCAACCGTCCCCGCCCCGTGGGAAGCGAACGCCGGCGGGCCACGTCAGGGACCGCTCCCGACCAAGCCCCCTCCCCCACCCCCCCCCCCCGCGTGTCTTTGTTCCGGGACCCGAGGGTCGTCCCGCGCCCCGCCGGGCCGTGCACGCCCACCGGCCGCCACCGCCTCAGTTTCGGCCCCTCCTGTTTTGTTTGCTCGTCTCCCTCCGCGCCTTCCCTTTTCCCGGCTCCTGTCTCTCAGAGGGCCGGGGGCGGGGGGGAGGAGAACGCTGCCTCAGCCACCTCAGCCGACCCCACCCCTGAGGAGCGGAGGTGCGAGCCCCTCCCTGAGCCTCGAACCACTTTTCGGAAAAGGCGACGCCAGATTCCAAGCCTTATTTTACTTCGGGGGGTGGGGGGAGAGAAAAAAAAAAAAGGGTAGTGGGAGACGCACCTTCTGAGTCTCGCCTCACCTGGAAGCTGGAGGGAACTCCCTTCGTTTATTTTTATTTTTCTTAAGTAAAAGGAAATGTCACAGTTCCTTGATGGATACAACATATGTACCTGAGCAAAATCATGGGGTCTGAGGAAATATTTAGATGCCGTTTTGGAATGTCCCATGTGAGAGCCTCTGTTAAAGTATGTGAAACCGGGAAAGGCACTTTTTACAAGAGAATTTAGAAACCAGTCAGGTAGTTGTCTGCAATCAGTTCTAACCGCCCACCAACAGAAAACCTTCCAAAGGAAAGTTTATAGTGCAAGTACCCCCCCCCCCCATAAGAACACACTCAAAGATTTCTGTTAGAAAAGGCAAAGACATGGAATCAGTTACCTTAGGCTCCAAAGTAAGCCTCTTGTTCCTGGCATCCCTCAACAAATTTGTAGACTGTTTGTGTTGATACTTGTATTTCTGTTCTCAACCTAATACTTAGTTTAACTCAACCTAATACTTATTGTGGCTGCTCTCTTCTTCTGGGACCACTAGTATACCCAAACAGCTATGTTTCTTGAGATTGGAAGGGAAAAAAAAGGAAAAAAAAAACTTTTTTTTTTTTAGCTACAAGCAATACTGATGTGTTAATCCTCAACTCAAAAACCAGAAAAACTTGGATGCCTTATATATTTGTGTTAATGACTTGTTAATGTCAATTCTTCAAAAATAGTTTACAGAGGGAAACTAAAATGTTCAGTGATACAGTGTGCTTGGTCATGGAGCTCACCTGATAGGGAAGATATCATTCATTGCCCAATGCGCTCAATCTTTGTTAATTCTATCAATGCCAAGCACAATGTGCTAGCTAACTCTGCAACCTTGTGTATACAATCTATCAGGAATACTAACAATTTCAAAATTATTTACAAGGAAATGTTACCAAAGAAGAAGAAATGCCTACTGTTAAATAGGATATTTGACTGCAGATAATATGGTTGGGGAATATTGGAAAGTAGAAAACTTGAAAATGGAGGAAAACATTTAATAGGAAAACCTTGCAAAGAAAGAAAACTGCCCAAATACTAAGTACTAAAAAAAAAAAAAAACTCTAGTTTTGTTTGGTTTTTTGTTTATTTTTTGTTTTGTTTTGTCCTTGCAGAGAAGAAACTGGGAGCATACAGAGCACTAGGATGTGGTATAGATAGTGGCACTAAAGAAACCAATGAGACGGGGGAGGGAGGTATGGTTCCGCCAGCAGGTCAATCTGTACCTGTGAGGCGAGTGTATCAGCAGCCTGATGGCGCCTTCAGACTTCCAGATACCCCAAAATTGCTGCTGTGCCTTTGGCCAGACCCCAAAAACTTGGGGCAAGTTTACCAAGAAAGTAAATGGCCAAAAGTTAGGTATGTGGGAGACACACCCACAAACCACCTGCGGCTCAGCTATATATAATTGGAGGCATGGCCTCTCTGGTTCCTGATCGGACTGCTTAATGGCCATGATCCCAGAGACTCAGAAACAAATCTTGAAACCCAGAGGCTTTGGGCAGAAATGCATCCAGTCCCTGCAATAGGTTACTGGCGCTGGGCCATCCCAGGTGGGAATGGATTTCGTGCCTTGGCCTATTCCCCCTGGTGCCCGGTGGCCGCCATCCTCCAGAGGCCACTGGACAGTCAGGTTTGCGCCCACAGTGACAAGACACGTGAGGCCTCATGGGATTGGGGGTGGGGGGAGCTGGCCCTTTCCCTCCCACTCCAACGAGACCCCAAGTTGCCGCCAACGAACGGCCTCTCTGGCTCCTGATCAAGCTACTTAACAGCCATGATCCCAGAGACTCAAAAACAAATCTCAGAACCCAGTGGCTTTTGGAAGAAATGCATCTGGACCCCACAGTAGGTTACTGTTGCCGGGCCATTCCAGGAAGGAAAGGGTACTGTCCCTCCACCTGCTCCCCCTAGGGGGCTCCGTGGCCGCCATCCTCCAGAGGCCATTGGACAGTCAGGTTTCAGCCATCAGTGATGAGACATGCGGGGCCTTACCTGATGGGGGTGGAGCTGGCTCTTTCTTCCCTGTCCCAACGAGACCCGGAGTTGCTGCCCATGAACGGCCTTTCTGGCTCCTGATTGCTTAACGGCCATGATCCAAGAGACTCAGGAACAAATCTCGGGGCCCAGCAGGTTTTGGCAGAAATCCCTCCAGATTTAATTGTTAAAATTTTGGAATTTCAAAATCACATGGCCACTTCTGCAGCCACGCGACATCATGTTATTCATAACCAGCAATAGAAAACAAATTGTCTACTGCTGCCTTTTCAGCAGATCTGAAAATTGGGGTAAAATTCCAAATGATAATGGTGGGTCTGGTGCCAAAATTTTGAATGTAATCAAAGTAGAGAGAGAGAAATGTGGAGATCTGCCCCACAGGTAGGGAGAGGGGGTGGGATGGGGGTATACTGGGGTTTTGGGGGTGGAGAATGGACACTGGTGAAGGTACGGGTGTTTCATTGTATGACCGAGACTTAAACCCGGAAGCTTTGTAACTGCTATCAGGGTGATTCAATAAATAAAATTATAAAAAATGGGGAAAAAATCAATGAGGCTTTATAGTGCTGGGCCAAGACACCCAAATTACACAATGGATAATAGTCCTCAGGCTAGTGAGGCCAAGAATGGGTTTATGGAGGAACAAAGTTGCAGCTGGCCCTACCTAAAAGGTGGAAGTTTTCCAGAAGCAAATGAAAAGTCATTCTGAGCCAGAATGTGACGGGACACCCAGAATGTGCAGGACGGAATGGATATAATAGAATAAGACTCGACTTAGGAGATTGGTGAAAATAAGGAAAACATCCTTTTCTGACCTGGGAGAACATTCTGTCTAGATAAGAATTTTTATGAAGTCCTGAGGCAAAGAGGGCTTGGATCTAGGATGGAAGAGATAGATGGGGGAGGAGGGGGCAGAAAGGATTCAAAGTAAAAAGAGTGAAGAATTGAGCTGATGAGACTGATTTAATAGAAATAATAGAGCGTGAGAGGTAATACATCCAGTAAGGTGCTTGCCTTGCACAAGGCCAACTCCAGTTCAATCCTCAGCACTCCATATGGTCCCTCAAGCCCTCCATGTGTGATCCCTGATCTTAGAGCTAGGACTAAGCTGAGTAGGGTCAGACTGATAGTACAGGTGGTAGGATGCTTGACTTGCACCCAGAAAATCTGGGTTTGATCCCAGGTATCCCATATGGTCCCCTGAATACCACCAGGTGTAACCACTGAGCATTGCTGGGAGGAAGGGAGGGAAGGCAGGCAGGAAGGAAGGAAGGAAAGGGGAGGGGGAGATAAAAGAAAAAAAGGATGAAGGAAGAAAACCAAGGAAGAAAAATAAACTTAAAAAAGGAAGGAAGGAAAGAAGGAGAGAAAAAAGAGAAGGTAGGAAGGAAAGAAGGGGAAAGGGTAGAGGAAGAAAAAGGAACAAAAGAAGGAAGGAGGGAGGGAGGAAAAGAAGATAAAAAGGATGGAGGAAAGAAAAGGAAGAAAAGAAAGAAAGAAAGAAAAGAAAGAAAGAAAGAAAGAAAGAAAGAAAGGGAAGGAGGAAGGAAAAGAAGGAAGTAAAAAGGATGGAGGAAGAAAAGAAAGGAAGAAAGCAAGAAATGAAAAAAGGGAGGGAGGGAGGGAAGGAACAGAAGGAAGAGAAGACAAAGGGAGGGAGGGGAAGGAAAGGACAGAAGGAAGGAGGAATGGAGGGAGGAAAAAAGGAAGAAGGAAGCGAGGAGGGAAAGGGAGGGACAAGGAAGGAAGGAAGGAAGGAAGGAAGGAAGGAAGGAAGGAAGGAAGGAAGGAAGGAAGGAAGGACAGGCATGTACTAACTGGCATCCTGAAGTATATGTTGCTCTGTGCCAGGCACTTGCATTATCTCATCAGTCCTCACAAAAATTGCATGAAGTAATACCACTATTACTCCATTTCATTCCACAGAAAACACAAATACCCAGAGGTCGCACAGAAATGTATGTGCTAAGGTCACACTGGTCTAAAAGACAAGACTAGAATTCAAACCCTAACCCAATTTTTTACTCTGCTCTAAGGCTTTTTTTTTCTTTTTAGATATATGGCTTGGCAAATGATTATAGGTGGAGAGTATTTGGGGAAGAAATGTTCAGTTTCGGTGTTGGGGGGCGGCAAGTGGGGCAGTAAGGAGCAGGCGGTAAGAAGTGCCTGGAGTACCTGCAGAAAGCAGCTGGAAGTTGTGACCCAAATCTCAGAAAGGTATTGCAGGTGATTCCCTTCTGTCTCTGGAAGGAGGTACAGAGCACTGAGTAGGAGCCTAGT